GATAGTTAATACAGAATATGGGATTCACAAACATGATGAATAAGAAAGACAATATAGAGGAGGAGGCAATCAAATGACAACTAGAAATTAGCCAACCACCCACCCAACACTATTTGTGTTCAATTTGTGTGTTTTTCAAGGAGGGAAATAAATGGAGACCAAATTCTTGAAGTTTATCTCAGAGTTAAAAAGATTTTTAGAGGTATGGATGAAAAACCATTCAGATCCTCACAGAATTCCTCTCATAGTTTATACTAGATGCCTTTAAACATTAAAGATACTTGCTGAATATGTGGCATTTGTCATGCAAAATGATGCTCTGCTCTTTGACCTAAGCATTTAAGTTTTGTTTAATAAAAGGTTATTCATTTTTGGGATCTGAGAAGGTGTGATGTTTGCTGTAGTCATTGTGGCCCACCTCTGCTCATGAAGGAAATCCTACAGAGTAATAGTGACAGGAGCAAAATGGACAAGACATTTAAAAATATCCAGCATTACTAAAGGGACCCTGGAAGTTTGAAACAGATTTTTAAGTATACACTTGACAGTAAAACCCTTTGTACCTCATTCATCCCTTTTACAGTGATGTGCCAAATTCCTCTTCAGGGGAAACTGGAAATGATGCTGAAGCATGTGGGCACCCTGAAGAAACAGAGTAAACAGACCAAAGCAATCAGTGTTGTAAGAACATAATAGGATCTCTGAAGCTTGAGGATAACACAGCAAATGATTGAGGCTAAAACCAGTATAGGTCTGTTTCCTGTGCCTGGTCAGAAGAACGTCTTATACACAGAATCACACCAGACACATGCAAAGACTAAATCAAGTGCTACATGTCCCAGCCTCTCAGCCTCCCACCAGCACAAACCACAAAACAAGCCACAGCAGGCTATCAGTTAAGTTCAACAAGACTTCCTCACGTCTCTCCACAGCTTCCTTTAGAATGGCTGTTTCCTGAGTTTGTCCATGACATTGACAGCTTATCTAGTCCAGAGCGAGCTGTAAAGGAGCAACACAAACAGAGGAGCTGGGGTCCTGCTAAGGGCAAGGGGTGATTCATACCCCCATCTGACACATGAGGATTATCATGCCTTTACACTTCAGCAGGCATCTGATAGTGAAAAAGACAGAGGAACAAAGATGAGTCTGCCCTCGTTAAACTATTATAACAGACCAAGAACAATGGATTAGGTTGCTTAGTGGTGAGAGTGAGGACCTGTTGTGTATTAAGCCTGTCAGAGGGACAGACTGGGATCATGAAATATCAAGTAGAGCCAAAGCTCACATATTTCCCGCTTGTTGGGTGAGTAAGGGGACAATCCACTAGTGAAGGTTTCTAAATTCCCCTCAGAGCCACAGGACTTCCTGCACTGTCGCTGCTGATGTGACGTTTTCCAGAGCAACAGCAGAGGCTGGAGGATCTGCATGGAGCACAACAGCTTTACAGAGAAATCTAGAGATCGAATCTATTCCTTAAAAGTATAACAATGAACTTTATTTTGCATTTCTCAAAATACAGTTATAACCCTGACCCTAACCCTATATAGGGCTCTACAGGTAATACTAACAAATCTAACAAAATCTTTCTTTCTAAACTTTTCAAAAAACATGTTTACACAAAAACTGAAAATATACACAATGCAATTACAAATTTAAACAAGTGAATTCAAGACAGTGGCTAAAATAAAGCAATGAAACAAAAAAAACACCTGGTTAAAAGCAATATAATGGTTAAAAAAACAACATAAAGCAAAAACAAACAAAACCTAAAGAAAGAAACGTTTTTAAAAAGAGTTTTTAAAGAAGATACTATGGTGGAATATCTGATCAACATACGGATTCATTCATTCAATTATCACTAGAGAATACTTTTTTGATAAAGATCATGCTATTAAAGTTCTGACCAAAATATTAAATGTTAAAAAATGTTCTTAAGAAACTATATCAACTAATCAAATTCCTGAAGTTGGGTACTTGTTAAAAAGTTAGGGCTTCTTTCTAACTAATACAGTGAGTGAGACAGAATGAAAAACCTGTGAGCAGAAGAATAAAGAACCATAAGAATCAGAGGAGTTATTTACCTTGATGTGACAAGTTGACTCTATTCTCTCAGATTCTTAGGGTCGCAGTTTGCTCCACAGAAAACCCCTCAGACTGAGTTTCTCCCTCTTATCTACAGGATCAATGTGTTTCCAGCCTGGAGAGTTTGACTGAACTACAGTTGGTTGCTCCTATGACCGCTGAGCTCCACCAGAACAACGGATGCTTTCACACACTTTGGGTGGGACGAGTTTGGCTGAAAGCTCACGGAAGAGGAACTCCTCTTATAGCCGCTAGGGGCAGTAAAGTGTCACCACAACGTGTCCCTTAGATTCAACAGAGATTCATTCATTCGTTCATCTTTCCCTGAAGACCCTGCATGGAAGAATTACCCATGAGTGCTCTCCTGTGTGTGATTTAATGGTACATCTGTTTTACAGGTTTATTCTACTGAACTGTGATCATAGTTTTATTCTGTACATTTTGGATAATAAAGTTTATTGGGAAAGAAATGCAACATCCATGTGTAGTTTGCTTATTCCAGGAAGTACAGGTTTGTGGGTACAGATCGTACATGTTCAAAAGATATATTGGTCTCAACAGGATTCAATTCAATTTAATTCAAACAATTGTATCGATCTCACCGCCAGCGATTCATTTGGAACAGCTTGTACAAAAACATACACACACACAGTTACAATTCAGGAAATGAAAGATAAGAATATAAATACATAAATAATTTGTTAGGCTGTAGACAAGGATGTTTCTCTGGTTGTATAGTCTAAAAGAATATCTCACCAGGTCAGGTTAGTGGCACTTCTGGAGCAGATGGAATGAACCCAGTTATCACGGAATCATGTTTATATTTGAATTTTTCAGAGTTATGTAAGAACTTTGTTGTCCATGCTGATGTAATATCTGAGTGACAGTTCACTCTCTCTGTCCCAGTCTGTCAGCTAACAGTAATATTTCAATAATTCTGAACCATCTCAAGCTATTTTACATCGCACAATGAAACTGATTCCTGTTCAGCCTGGAGTAGGGTGTGGAGTCTGCCAAGACGGGATGTTGCACACAAAACAGCATCCAACTGACTGGTTGTAAACACTCAATAAAAATTTAAGATTAGTTTTTCTTTTTTTTTTAATCAGGCAGAGACACAGAAGTATATATATGTATATATATATATATATATATATCTGCTAAATGTACTTGTTTAAACTAAAATAACTCATTAAAAAGCAAGATGGCCACTGTTAAGACTTATAATTTTTGGGTTAATATTACTGATGCATTAACATATATTACATAAAAAATTTCACCACTGGTCAAGGTGACAATAATTTTTACTAAATCATATGATATTAGGTCATTTACTTCATAACAATGCATCATATCTAATACCAATATCCATATGATTTAATATATTAAGGCACAATTCATGGTAATATTTGCAGTGGAGTAAAATACTTTTTTATTTGCTTATAGTGGAGTATAAATATAAAGTGGCAACAAATAAATGTAAAGGAGTACAAACACTTCATCATACAGAGCTGGTGCAAATGTCTTTATTTACTCCACATCCTATCAAAACTTAAAGAAAGCAATTCTACAAGAAAAGAAAATGAAAACCACATGACTTGTTGCTCATATTTTTATTGCATATTGCACTTGAGTTGAAAATACACAATTTGTTGCTTTGCACAGTACAAACTGCAACATTACTTCAGCCAGAAACAATAACCAGACAGACATTTTCAGAACCATAGGCCATCAACATATCCAACTCTATCCAAGCTTTCTGTCCATAAACATCACATTTGACACCCAGCTTCGGCTGAAATTTCACATCTATTTAAAAACAATGTATCAGGCAAAATGCTTTTTTTTTTCAAATATCTCCTCAATAATTAGGTAAAAAGAAAATATACATTCAGTTCCTGACAGAGTGAACTGAAAGTAACATTTGATGAAGCAGTGCTTTGGTAAAAGTAGCAAAGATAGTTGCACAGTAAAGACAAGATAAACAGAGGCAGACCAGACCAAACCAGACTTGTAGTAAGATAATAAATTACTTAGGACAATGTATTAACTTTTGTGTGAAACTGTTCATTAAAAAGTAAAAACTTGACTGTACAATACAGCTTTTATTGCATAAGATAAGACATATGGCTTCTTTAATCAAATTATGAGGTGTGTATTGCATTCTCTGATTGTTTGTATCACTACCAGTAAATCAGGCCTCATCTTTATGATGTAACATATACTGTATCTTATACATATGTTAGGTGGACGGATTTTAAACTAAAACAATTTTCACACAGTTTTTTTTCAGTATACACAGCAGTTAAAATGTTATAAGCAAAACTCTATAACTATAATTACTGTAACAGATGATACTTTTGAATTGGGATTAGTTGTGTGGTATCTCAAACACTTCACATGTCCTCTTAATCTTAAGCACTCATGACCATGAACATAAATGTCGATCAATTGTCTGAAGAGACATGACTCAAATGAAAAATAATGAAATGCTGCATTTAAGATGGAAACTTTGCCCCAGAATCAAAAAACAACAGTGAGGAAAAGGCACAAAGAGAAAAGCCAGAGGCAGCAAAGATGAAAGTGCAGAAACATTTGATGCGAGTATTACAAATACACTCTCACAGTGAACCAGCAGAAGGCCTGCAGGGAGCCGAGTCAATATGTAGACTGCACAAGTGCTGACTGCATCATGTAAATGACTTTGTAAACTACACGGATCACTGGAGAGAAGAGGAACGTCACACTGAGGAGTCAAGGTCGGCATTCATCTTACTGTACATCTCATAAATAGCATCGACAGTGGCAGAAAAGTTGATGAGGAATTTTCGGATTTTCTCCAAGCATTCCTCTTCCTTGACGTCTCGACCCTTGGAGAGCGCCTTCAGGAAATCTGACTTGTATGGAGCAGCGTAGAGAGCAGCCTGTAAATCAAACAAACATTTCAAAATCATACACCACATGTATTTTTCTAACAAGCTCTCTGCTCTCTAACATAAGCTGCTTTCAGACATGTACTGAACACCGCAGATCCACTGAGGGGGTGTATGTCTGATCTGTGGTGATGCTTCTGACACATGACAGACGTAAAAAAGAAAAAAACTACAAGAAAACAAATAACTCTTGAGGATAAAGTGATTGTGGTACACGTAGAAGACACAGAAAAAGTTGTCAAGAGAGTTTGTGGTGATGAGGACCAACGCCAATGCTGAAAACAAAATCAAGTGATCTCTGCAGCAGAATTAACATGTGACATCCTCTGTGCCTGCTGCAGCTCCCCTCACCTGAATCCTGCAGAGGATTTGTTGCTGTTGTGAACACGTCTGAGCAGAGAATCTCCTGCTGTGTTGTTCATGCGTGAAAGGAAAACTGCAGAGAAAGTCCGGATCCAAATCTCCGGAGATCCTTCGCTGAACATGTCTGAAAATGGCTATACAAGTCTCTATTAACCAACAATGTAAGGAGGAAACTGACCTTGAAAAGTTGCTGCACAAACCAGCTATGGTACCTCTTCAGGGCTATTTCATAGGCTTTGGTGATATTGACTCGGGTGAGGTTTGGATTGTCTTCATCCTTGTCACCGTCCACGAGGCTCTGAAGGAAGACTTGGATAAATCGTAAACCCCTGTTGAAATACAAGATTATGAGCACACCACTTCACAACACAAACCCCCCCCTCCCTAACAAATATCACATTTGTCAAACCTTTTCAGCCACATGAGATTAAAGGTCGCTCCGACTTTGGGCCACCCTGCTCCGTGCATTTCCTTCTCTGCCTCCATAATCTGCTGCAGCGTCTTGAACCGTCCTGGGTTGGTATCATAGACCGCCTTGATTTTCTAGTAGTAGAAACAAAAGTTTTTAAAGTAAAAAATTAATGAGTAATATACACACAACATATTCAACTCAAGTCACATTAAATATTTATTGTACTTACTGTGATGTTGCCAGATAAGTCAGCTTTAATTGGTGCAAAAACAGTAGAACCAAGACAGTCTGAGGAGAAATATTTACACAGGATGTGAGGGAGAATCATATCAGAGAATGAGGTCTTTTTTTAAAATTGTTTCTCCTTATATTACAACTTCATTACCAGTTTAATATTAAGAATTTCCTCATGAATTACGACCTAATTCTCAAAATCTCAAGTATTTCTTTCTTCAGTGTTGCCCTCTGTCTCACACATTATAAGAGATTCCAGAGCTTCAACAAATCCAAAATATTACAGGCTTCATTAGAGGGTTATTTTTATTTTTTAAAAAGCTGCATTGCAGTTATGTAGTTTGTGCAATTTAATTTAGTTCCACATATTCATCATGAACGGCAGCAAAGATCTGGACCAAGCAGATATGGAATCTGTGTGTAAATTCCAAAGTGACATATGTGGCACATTTGGCTCGAGTAGTTAAAACTCTTGGAGCCGACAATAACCCCGGCAGGTAATGCCAATGTACCTTATTATGCCTTATTAGGCTAATCATCAGAGTATTATTATTAGGTGTCTTTTAATTAGGCGGCTGAAAGATCTGAGTATTTGGTGACGGGCCTGTGAACAAAGAGACATCTCGAGTGGCGACCACACACGGCTCCTGGTTGACCCACTGACACAACACACAGCTTCAGCCTCTGAGCCGTTAGTGGAAACTACCCGGGACGAAATCCACTCTGTTGTGCTGATGTAATGCATCGTCACAACACTAACAGCATCAAAAGACACCCTCTTTAGAATACATTTTTTTGTTGTGCATAAGATGCTTCTGGAAGCTAAAGGCAGTCAAACAAGCTGCTGCTAAAAGATATCATGATAAGAATATTTTTGTAACATAATTTGTTCTTGGCTTGTGACCAGCCCTGACCACCCACACATGAGATAATCATACATATATAGTTGTAATGCAGTATTGCCCACAAAATCAATAGGAAGAGGCATCTAAAATACCTGTGAGAATGTACAATACTATGAGTGTGTGTACTTTAATGGCTCGTAGGAAAGTTGGCCAAGAGATTTCTAGGTCAGAAAAAACAATGGTGACAAGGAGGAAAAGCTTAATGTCGCCATCAGACTTGGTTTCTCTCAAGGGTTTCACATGGCAAATTCAATAGAGGACCTTTGGCATATTAATACAGAATGAAGTCGCACAAAGATGCCATGGTGCACCATGCCACCAATGAATGGGCAACGGGAACTCAACACCAGACTAATCAATTTTCACAACTTAAAATCCTGGCGAGTGGATTAAATTATGCATGATAACGGATTGTGAACAGCTTGATGGAGAGAAATACGATCTCCCCGAAAAAGATTATCATTCGAACGGATCAAGATCGTCTTGTTGGGCCTGACAGAAGTGTTGTGACAGATTTGCCTTACAACAAGTTTTGTGTCTATTAATAAAAGTTAAACAAATTTCACGTGAAAATTTAACAATAGTGGAAAAGGGTCCATTGCAGAGGGCTACTTTTGAAAAGAGACCTTTTTTCCAGGCATTTCTGTGCCTATACTGCTTATACAACTATAAAACTATAATTATCACTTTGTCAGTGCCATCCTTCTGGCCTATACAACTACAGGCCTCTGACAACTCAGTCATTATAATAAGCTGAATAGAAATAAACTTGTGTCTGCAGGAGCATCATTTCTCTGCAGGCAGTGACAACTCAGAATAAGGATTTCATATTTTATTTCCACACAACTTCACATCCAGGAATGTCACTACATAGTCTCTGCCATGTCACACTGTGGAAACTTTACTTACCAAAGAACGGTGGAAGGTATGACACAGCCTCCAGAAACGGTCTTGTTTCCACCTGTCTGTCGGCTGGCAGCTGCCTGAACTGGTGCTCCATTAGCAGAGCCATCGCTTTAGTCCGGACACTCGCTTTACCTCTGAAATGATAGCAACAGGCTGTCAACCCCGCACTGCAGATTTACACTGACACCAGGGGAGAGGAGGGCAACTCTGAGTGTGTGTGTGTTTGTGTACGTGTGAGAGAGAGAGAGAGAGAGAGAGAGAGAGAGAGAGAGAGAGAAAGAGAGAGAGAGACACAGAGAGAGATGGTGTGTTGTTGTCATGAGCCACTTATAGGAACAAATTTCAGACTACAGACTGATTAATTGAGGATGGGTTCTGATGGGTTGTGCAACTTGGGACAAAAGCTGAGCCCTCAGTTGGGATAAACAGATTTTTGGGTCAGTGGTTAATGTTAAGTTAATGTTTAAAGTTTAGCTGTTGGTTATGTATAGGTGTAGGTTAGGGTAGATTAGGGTTAGTGTTAGGTCAGGCAAAGGTTATGTTAGGCAAAGTTCTTTTTTATGTTTTGGTTTAGATTACGTTAGGTAAGGTAAATGTATTTTTAGGTAGATTAGGTTAAGTTTAGGTTAAACTATGTTTTGGTGTAGATTATGTTAGGTAAAGTTTTGTTTAGGTGTAGGTTAGGTTAAGTGTAGGTCAGGTTAGGCTTATATTTGAGTTAAAGTTAGACTATGTTATGTTTAGGTTAGATTAAGTTAAGTTTGAAATGTCCACGAACATGGTGCTTTACTGACAACTAGTGGACTAGTCTGGAAGTACAGTATTGACCTGGTAATATGCCTATAAAGATGACTCAAGGGATTTTTATTATTAGTCTATACTATCTAAATCTAAAACATCACAAAGAAAAAGAAGCTGTGCCAAAACTTTTTCATAAGTCACTACTTCAGTCCATAAGCTGTGATTAATGATTAATAACTCATTAAAGCTACTATAGCCTCATAGACCAGTTATAAATCATTAATAAGAAGAACTTTGGGATATTATTATTATTATTGGGAAGAACATTTGTGTGCAACAAATAAATACAGCACATTATCGATACTCATCACTGCCATATTTTCCTAACAGATACATTTCTGTCTTGAAACGTCTTGTGGGCTCTCAAACTATATATTTGTCCTAATAGATTCTACTTGATGATTTCTCATAAAGAAAAACATATTTTTCTGTTTATCGACGTCTGAAAGATATTAACTTCGCGTTTTCCCTCCTGGTTTTCTCCTCATTTTGACCTAAACTTCATCCCGTAGCGTGGGAGTAACTAGGAAGTGATGTCGGTAACTAAGAGAAACTGGAGGAAAGAGGAAACTCAAACCACCGACTGAGTTGAACAAACATCGAGTAAAGGAAAAAGACTTCGCCTCCAGCAGCGTGAGTACATGTTGTTCATCGGGTTCTTTAAGCTTTGACTCAGCTGCGACCGTGTGGACGAGCTAGTGAGCGGTGTGACGCTGTGTTCGTGTATTTTTCATCACAGTAAACACGTCACATCACAACAGCACGTGTAGGATTAGCAGGAACATAGCATTGACTGAATAATGATTGTTGGTGTGAGAGCTAAGGTTTGGTTCAGACACTGGCGATGGTCATGTTTCTATAAAACATGCAGTAGTCTGGATAAAGCTGAGGTTACTTCTTCTCGTTCTCTTTAATCGCAGTGATTCAGATCTATGGCTCTGCCGAACCTCTCGGCCCATGGACCCAGCCGCTCCCGGACGCTGGCCGGTCAGTTGGCCCGGCAGCGGGAGCAGGAGGCCCGGTGGCGGCAGCAGTGGGAGCAGCATGCTCGGTACTTCAGAGAGCAGAGCCTCTGCGGCCAGAGACAGGCGGTGTGGAGCTCCGGTCGGTCCTACCAGCGGAGGTAAGTCATCCACCTGCAGAGCTGCACCGAGATATCAACAACAGCCGCAGGAAACATCACAAATCACAATTTGTCTCCTCTGTCCTTACCATCAACAAGAGTAAGAAAAAAAAAATCGCAGAAACCTCAGAGAGAGCCACTTGTGATGGATCCCTCTCCCAGGACGAACAGCAGTGCAATAGATGCTGAGTGTTACTGAGCACATCAACAAAATAACAGTATTTACAAGATTGATTAGAAAAATAGAGAGAAATTGCCTCGTTGAGAGCAGTTGGGTTCCTGTTGATTATTCTTTAGGTGACATGGAAAGAAAATAGTTTTTCAACTCTTTTTCCCCCAGTATGTCGTCATACCATAAACAGAGAATGAAGGAGGAGAAAACGGCAAATCTGGAGCGGCGCAGGAATCTGCTGAGGGCCATGCTTCAAAAGGAACAAGACCAGCTGGAGGCCGAGCTCCGAGAACTGGTAACTGACAGGAAAACACTGACAAGTCAGTATTTGCAAAAAACTGAGGAGCTTCGCACAGCCAGAGATGAGAGAAGGAAGAAGGTAGCTGCATTGTATTAGGTGCATATTTCTTTTCCAATACAGTGTATAATCCCTGTTATTTATGTTTTTTTATCCCTAGCTTGCACAAGAGCTGTTGCGGGAGCACTGGAAGAAAAACAACCCAGAGTTGCGAGAGGTAGTCAAGTTTTAACTATTAATGCAAAAGTGACACGTGCCAAACTTGTTACCTCGATGTCTGACTGTTGATGAACAGATAAATGGCCTAAAGGAATCTAGTGACCATCCTGTATGTCTGAAGAACCCAGCAAGTAGAGAAAACAGACACTTTTCTTTTTACAAGACGTCCATTTGATCTGGAAACGAATAGGTCTTGTGATGCAGATATTCCGTGACTTTCTGTTAACTTGAGCGCAGTGTCGGCTTGGGAGAATAAAATGTTCTGGTGTCCTTTCCGCCAGAGGTCAAGTTCATCAGTATCTCTGTCACGCCTCTGTCAGAACTTGCTCTTTGAAACTGTCCACAGGTCGACTCAGCATTACATAAAGATCATGTTGTCAGCCAATGGCAGGAGCAGATATCTGTGAAGAAACAGGTAGGAAATTCAAACACAACTCTTTTACAACAGTCTACGGATAAGATGTGTTTGTCAACTGCAGGAGTTTGTGTACAATATGACATTTTAGTCAAACCAAAAAGTGGATCAATTGCTCCCCAGTTCTCTGAAGTATTACCTTCACCAGGCCGGCAATGACACATAGGACCCACAAGTCATTAAACTGTCATTATCCTTTTATGTGACTGATGCAGGTAACAAATCAATTTTTAATTAAACAGCGCTCATGTCATCTGTGACCACAGTATCAAGTCTGATATCTCCTCAGGTTAATCCCCTCAATCTGCTACATAATTTAGAAAGTTTAGACACCAACCCTAAATGACCCATCTCTTTTTATACACGCAGCAAGAAGTGGCAGTGCAGGAGGAGACGACGCGCTTCGAAAATGAATATGAGCGCACCCGAAAAGAGGCTCTGGAGCGGATTAAACAGGTGGAGAAGAAAAGGAAAGCAGAGGAGCTCAAATTAGGAGAAGAGCTCTGCAAACAGATGGAAGAACTGAAGATGAAGGAAGAAGAGGTACAAAGATGTTGGGCAAGATTTTTCTTTTGTGAAAGGGGATTTTGGAGGTTTAAGCATCACCTTTTTTTCTCTCTCTCTCTCTCAGGCCACTCGTCTAAAGAAGGAGCAAGAGGCTCTGCTGGTGCAGCAGTGGGAGCTGGAGAACATAGAGGAGGAGAGAAGGAAGGTGGAGGAAAGACGAAAGAATTCTGAGATGGGGTGAGGGAAGATCTTTCTTTAGATAACTAATCACATTTGGGATCATACAGTTAAAGGTAGATTAATTAAATTTATGTTCCACCAGATATTTCTTGATCCGTCAATATCGAGCTCAGTTGAAGAGAAGAGCGCAGAAAGTGCAGGAGGAACTGGTAAGTTTACTTCACCTGCTGGTGAATGTACTCAAGATTTGTATATATTTTTGGGGTTTTGACGTCTTCTTTGAATACTCTGCCTTCCAGGAGGCCGATCGTAAGATCCTGGCAGCTTTGCTGGAAGGAGAGCAGGAGGACGAGAGGCTGGAGACTGCACAAAGGGAAAGGGCTGTCGCTGATGTTGCCTGGATGAAACAAGTGATTGAAGAGCAACTTCAGTTAGAGCAAGAACGGGAGGCTGAGTTTGACATTTTGCACAGGTGAGCACCGAGACTCAAGCAACCTCTGACTCCGCAGGCAGGGACCCCTGCTTCTCTTCAAACATAAACCGCTGCACTTCATCCATTTTAGAGAAGAAGCTCAGCGTGTATGGGAGAAACGAGAGGCAGAGTGGGAGAAGGAGAGGAAAGCCAGAGAGCGTCTCATGCGTGAGGTAAGGTTTTTTCAAAAGACTTTGACGCTGAACAATTTAATGACAGACTAACTTTCCTGTATTTTTCTTGGAAAGGTGCTTGTGGAGCGACAGCAGCAGTTGGAGCAGAAGGTGCAGAAGAACCGCAAGGCTCAGGAGGAGTCACTGAGGAGACGAGAAGAGTTGATCCAGGAGCTGGAGCTGGAGAAGGACATCAGACGTCAGGAGAAGGAGAGAGAAGAGGGTCGCAGGACAGCATATATACAAGGGTTAAATGCTCAGGTTGGTACATGCTGCAGTGGTATCGTTTATCATTGACAACTTAAAACAATTTCGAGTCCCCACAGCTCAATGTGAGACAAGATGCTTTTTGTAATAATACAGGCCTAAAGCTGTTTGTGTGTTTTCACTGTAGGTGGAGCAGCAGTGCCAAGAGCATTGGGAGAAGCAGTGCCAGAAAGAGCAGGACGAGGAGGGAGAGAGGGAGGCCCTTCAAATCCAAGAGGAGGAGCTGAGGCTGGAGACGCTGAGGATGGCCAAGAAAGGGTATCAGGAGAAGGTAAAAATGATATAACAATCATTTTGAATGTTGATATTCCAAATTTGTAAGTTATCAGAATTAAAATAGGTTTGAAACTGTCCCTTTCAGATTCACAGCAGACCTCGTTCCGCCTGGACATGGGGAACCTAAAACTGTGGAGTTAAAACAGATCTGTATATTTATGTATTTATCTAGATGTGATTATCCTTAAAGGATTGGTTTCACATTTTTGTGTCAAGTGTGTCTTAAAACAATACTCAAATGCCAAATTGAAAACACTAACAATTATTGATTGCTGTAATTGTGCCTCCTGTCCATACCAAGGTTATTATAGTTTGGAAATTTTCATTAGTTTTTATTTTTATTTAGTTTTTCAGTTTGCTTTTTTATTTCAGTTTAGTTTTAGTTAGTTCAACAAGTGATCTTTTAGTTTCAGTTTAATTTTTATTCAGTTTTAGTTTTTCCAGGTATTAAGAGAAAGCCTTGACTTGTAGAAGCTGAAAAAGGATGAAACAATGTGTGACACCAAATATGGTTTATCAAGTCCTTTAATTTCATTCTTGAACCATCACCTGCAGGACAGGCAGTAATCGAGGGAGAAAACGAAACGACAACGAAAATGAAGCTGATTTTATCTGCAATTCAATTTAGTTTAAGTTAGTTTTGCATTGTTCATTGTAGTTTTTATTTAGTTTTAGTTTCTTTTGTATTTTTCGTTTTTATTTTTATTTCAGTTAACTAAATAATTTTTTCATTGCTAGTTTAAGTTTTAGTCTTAGTTTTCGTTAACTATAATAACCCTGGTCCATACTGGCTCGTAAGAGACCCCTTCCCAACATGATTTCAGTATAACAGATGAGGACAACATTCACATTCCTCTTTCAATGTAAAAATACACTCCGGAATGAATCCAATCAAGTGGCAATTTTTTCTTTTGGTGAAAAGTCCATCTTTTTGCTTTTCCAAAAAACAGTTTTCTTACTGAGCCACTGTGGAAGAAAGAGAGATAATTTCATACTAAAAAAATGTATTTTTCTGAAGCTCCATATTATTGTTGGTTACTCTTTTAAATACATTTATGGACACATTGGACAAGACCATAAATCTTGTCCCACATTACACCTTGTGAAGGGATGTCTTCTTCAGTATGGAGAAGATAGAGCTAATCCCAGCTGACATTGGGAGAGAGGTGGGGTACACCCTCAACAGCTCACCAGCGAATCACAGGACCAACATACAGAGACAACCATTGGCATGTGTTCACACCTATTGTTTCCATATAAGCTTAGCACCAGAATGGATGAACAACTTTATCAATCCGTAAATGTAATGTAATTAATAAACACATGGACATGTTTGTTTAAAAAAGTGAATCTCTCCTTGTCCATGTCTTTTTAAGAAGTGAAACTGGATTGTGAGGCCATTCGTTCATCTTGATGTTAAAAATCCAGGGCTGGTTGTTTGCATCTGTAGAGAAGAAGTGGTTTTATTTGCAATTTCAGAGCTCTGTAAGGAACACATATTTTGTATTCTGAATTTTTTAGACTTTTGATAAATAAAACTAAAAATGTTCCAACCAAATCAGTCCCGTGTTTGTGTCAAGGAATCAAAAAATGATAAAATCTCCAACTACAACAGGCTGTAGTTATAAATTAAGTTTATTTAGAAAATAGTTATTTTTCCAAAGTCCAACTTTGGAGCTGCATTCAATGACATTACCTTGATCAGATTTCAAAAAACGATGAAACACTTGGTGGGGATGAATGCTGGGAAGCACATTAATAGGGGAGGTGTCTACAGCTCTATCCCACATGTTGCACATAAATACAAAAACTAGCAGCAACGGAACAGAGCACAAAACACATGGACTTAGTTCAGTATGGCTCTTAGCTCTACATATGCTGTAACATCACCAACACTGCAATGGCACATGGGACCCCAGAATACAGTGCAGTCTATAGCCTGTTAGAAACACACCAAATCATTACAACATCCGGGTCACAACCTGCCCCCCCCAACTGACATGGCAAATCAACATACTGTGTACATAAGTGCACTGCAGACTGGATTACACTGGGACAAAATGTATAAATGGCTTTTTTTGATGTAACGAACATTAGCATTGCAGAGCTACAAAGTGTGAAGTAATGAAGTTCCCAATATTTAATGAAAGTTACCTAATTAATCTGTTTGTTTCTGAAGATTCAACTTTACAGTATGAGTGTTTGCAAGCATTCAATGACATTCCTGGTTTTTTAGCATCTGTGCCTTTCTTTAGACTGATAACATATACCTGTATCACCATATAAGTTTACTGTAGTGTGCTTGAAGTCTATTTGTAAGTTAGAGCAAGTTTTAGGGAGAAATCTAGAAGCCTCTATATTTCCCTGGCCTGCTGCATGTCATCTTTACCTCAAGAGAAATTGTGCTATTATAACAGCTGAATATCCCTAAAAACAGCTGCTGACTTTTTCCCTTGAAACTCGGAGCTGGCTTTAAATAATGTCAATACCTATTCATAAGTTAAAAAACAAACAAAGGCATGCATATACCACAAAAACAAAAATCCACAAAATTATTTTAAAAAATATAACAAAAGAACTGAGATGCTAAAGGGCTTTGCAGCCTTGTAAGTGCTGTTAGTTGGTGTTCTCCTTTGTGGTGATGGTGACTAGCTGCTTGGCAGCCTTGGCGATGTCATAAGCACATTGGATGACCTGCTGAGTGACCAGCTGCATGTCCGGCCCGGGGCAGCCCTCCGACGGGGCGGCCTTCCTGCACTCACTCTGGAGCCGGTACGCGCTGGATGTCAACAAGCGCAGGGAGCTTCTCACGGTGTCCGAGCGCGGCCTCTGCAGAGGAAGGTGAAAATATCACGGGAATGTCTTTATATTGTGTCCTTTCAAAACTCAGCAGAACGATGTTAAAGGTGTAGGATAAATTGAGTCCAGATGGAATTCTGCTGGCCTAAAACCTAAGTTGGTTTGTCTACTTTACCTTTCACCACACTTAACACACACATCTAATAATATTTAGTACCTTGGTTATTGGTACAGTTTAAAATATTTTATTTGAACTTGAAACTCAGGTATTTGTACTGCGTTTAAAAGAAAACAATAACTTCTCTTTAAACACACACACACACACACACACACACACACACAGTGCAAGGTTTTTTTCATACCTTGGGAAAGAGGGCAGCCATTTCTGTTACAGCCACATGTATTCTTTCTGAACAGGGTACGAAGCTGTGAGGAGAAGACATTTGTCAGTGAGTTCAAAGTATTGATATCACGTCCACATGAATCTCAACATTATAAAAAATGAATGAAAATTGATTTCACCAAAAGTTATTTCATGCAAAAAACTGTCATATTCACAACACATCATGCATGCTTCTACTTCAGGCTGACAAGATCGAACACACATTTCGGAAAAACATTTTTAGTCCTGTAAGAGTTTACATTCAAAAATTATGGATAAATAGAAAAAATCATCAAAATAGAAATCTGAAACAAACCTGAAAAATGTCAAAATATTAAAACATGAATCACACTTTGGTCTATATCTATTGAATGCAAGTAACTGCACAGATGTATTGTAATGTTTTACTTTCCATCAACTAACTGAAGCCAAGTTAGTCAGTGAGAAAAAATATCATCAATCAAGTTTTAAACTAGAGCCCGGCCAATATGAATTTTTGAGGGGTGTGGTTATCAAACCCTAATGTCAAAGAAATGTAAATGAGGCTTGTTTTTTAAACAGTTTACTCATAAACTATAAAACAAAACACAAATAAAACCAAACATGTGGAGCTGGAGTGAAAAAAATGTACATATATTTTAAAACATGTAAAATATAATCAGAAATGCATCTTTTCTGAATTGTTATTATGTAAAATAAAAGTTCTTATATCAGCAAACGTAAACAATACCGATGTATCTGTGAGAGGCTCGTATCAGCCGTCAGATATACAGTATATATACAGTTTATTATATATTGGTCAGGCTCCATTTTAAACAGAACAAAATCAAGCGTTCATTAGCACATTGAAGAAAAAGATTCATCAGCTTGTTAGCAGGTGAGAGAAGAAAAGGAGGGAGGGAGAGGAGAATGAAACTGTGCCTGGGAGGCAGGGACAGAGGCCAGAGTACCAGGAGGTGGGGTCAGGGGACCGGAGGCTGAGCGGCTGCAGGGGAGGGGGGGCCTTGTCAGCCCAGGGTACCAGAGTGCTGAAACATCCCAGACTGTGCCTGAGCCGACGCACACCTTCACGCTCAGATGGTCTGCTCACGGCAGCGAGGGAGGGGGGGACACCACAACGCAACAACATAACAACAGCAGCAGAGTGGAAGTAGAATGGGG